GAGACATTTCAATGAAACATCCACTCATGCCTTGGATAGTTCGACGCGGTGCACACATCATGAACAGGTATGCGGTCCACAGCAATGGATGCACAAGCTACTTCAACAGATGGAACAGAGAGCAACATACACCACTTTGCAAGTTTGGTGAGACAGTGCAATACATGCTACCAACAGTGAAACAATTTCCAAAACTCGAGCCGAGATTGTACAACGGGATCTGGCTTGGCAAGGATACAACCACAGGCGAATCCCTTCTTGGGATCTACAACAAGACTGTCAGAGCAAGGACAATTAGAAGGCAGATCATGCCTCACAAATACAATCAGCAACTACTGGACTGTGTACACACAGGTCCATGGAAGACACCAGCATCAGCACTGCACACACCAACTCTCGCAACACCATTGACAATGCCAGCTACAAGCAAGGCACCACCATCACAGAAAGACGCAACAACTAGCGCAGCAGAAGAAGGCAAGAGACAGAGCGCAACAGAAGCAGGCGATCAGCCAACAAAGCAGAAACGAACAACAGAGCCAACACCACCAATGGCTACATCACCAACACACCAGAAGCGACCAGCACTGCCAGCACCACCGCCTACATCACCCACAAGAGAAAGAGATGACACCATAGCAGAAGGCAGTACAGGAAAGCAACAGCGCACCACAGCAGAAAGACAAGCGCTTGAGCGACCTACAACATCAGAACAACCAAAGAGCAAAATGAGGATAAATGCCATCGAGTTCACAACAAAGGATGGCAAACAAATGCAAACAACATCCAATGAAGATGCAGAAGAAATCAACAATGAAAGGATCCTACTAGAGCCAATCATACATGACACAGAAGGCTTGGATCCACAACAGGTAGCACAAGGAACGAAGAAGGAAGTACAACAAATGAAAGATCAATCAGTCTTTACAGAGATGGATGGCAACACACTGACACCAGAACAACAAGCAAACATTATCGAGTCTAGATGGGTTCTCAAGCAGAAACACAACGAAGTGCGAGCACGCATAGTAGCAAAGGGCTACACAGAACCCGTTACAGACCACGATCTCTTGTTTGCAAGTACACCGTTGTTTTGCACACTGAGGATACTCCTCACAATGGCATTGGTGTACAACTGGTCGGTCAGCACAGGAGATGTCAGTGTTCCATTTCTACATGCAGAAGCAATCTCCTACAACCTGGTAATGCGACCGCCACATGAGTTCTACAATGATGAAAACAGACACATAATGTGGCGGCTGAACAAAGCCATTTATGGCCTAAGACCACCACCAAAACAAGGGCGAGACCACATAGCACACATCCTCACAGTCACACTTGGGCTTGTGAGATGTACAACAGAAAGCAATGTTTACAGATCAAAAGACTGTCAGGTCTACATCATGATCTATGTAGATGATCTCCTCTTCATAGGAGTACAGAGCATCATCAACACGCTCTTCAGCAGGATGCAAAAGGAAGTCCTGCTGAGGCACACAGGCGATCTAGCAGTTGGATCAACAATACATTTGCTTGGCAGGAACATTTCACACACAAAGGCGACCACATTGACATCAGCTTGAACAACAACTATGTTGACATCATCCTGGAAGAATCAGGAATGACTACATGCAACCCAGCACCATCACCAGGAGTACCACACATGAAAGGTACAGCAGAAGATGAAGCACCACTAGATCAAGAACAACACAAGAAATTCAGGCGGCTTTTTGGCAAAATACAATGGTTAGCATACACACGACCAGACATCAGCTATGGAGCAAAGGAGCTAGCAAGATCACTACAAGCACCAACACAACTTGACAACAAGAAGCTCAAGCGCATGATTAGACACCTTAAAGGAACAAGGTATGTGCGACACAACCTGCGGCCAAAGATACAAACACAGGACAAAAGAGTTCCACTCAACATTGACACCTACACAGATGCCAACTGGGCATCATGCGAGACAACAAGGAAAAGCGCAACAGGATTTGTACTGTACTTCTTTGGAGCAGCAGTACATGATGGCAGCAGAACACAAGCAACAATAGCACTTTCATCAGCAGAGTCAGAGCTGTACGCGACTGGTACAGCAGCAAAGGAGAGCAACTTCGTCAAGGATGCATTTGAAGCATGCACCAACTTCAGGAGACACACAGACAGCAGCGCAGCAAAATCAACAGCAATGAGAGAAAGTACATCAAAGAAAGCAAAGCACATTGAGCTGCGACACCTCTTCATAACTGCGCAAGGTAAAGTCAGAAGACAATACAGCCGACATTCTTACCAAGTTTGTTGGCAGCGACACACTCAACAAACACCTGTACAACGTTGGCCTGAGGCCACACCACAACAGTTTCACACCAGTGAGTGCAGTAGTCAGCACAGGTTGTTAAACAACAGGTGCACGGTTCACACATGTTTGTTTTACGACATAACAGCCGGCATAGTCACAATCTTTTAGGGTAGATACCTCGGCCATGGATCGGCCCCGCTTTAATTTTTCCAAACATCTTTTCAGAGCTACATCTGCATGGCAGTTTGTACATGTCTCAGACAACATTTTGACACATGCTGCAGCCATCTACATTTGCTTTGTACAGTTCGCTCTTAGGCCAAACATCCTACAATGGATCACCGTGCCTACAAGACCCTGCACATGCCTTTGACAGTGCAGTCGAGGTTGGGAACAACCCGACTACACCGGCCAATCCTCAGGATTACACTGAGGTGATGATTCCACTCACCATGGAGCAGTACAAGTTTGTTACAACCGCTGCTACATCAGGTGAGATACAGAAGATCCCAGGCTACATGAGGTCTCCCACATTGGGATTCACTGGGATGCTTTGCAGCCTCATGCATTGCATCGGCTGCATCAGCTGGATGATACATGAAGGCCTTGACAGTACATTGGACATGACAAATTTCTACATCTTCAAGGTCAGTCTCCAGACAGAGCTGTTCCAGAAGGCATACCAGAAGCAAGTGACATTGTTCAACAGGGGCTACATCAGCGCGGTCCTCCAGTTGCAACACACCTGCGCATGGACTTTGTCAAACATCGAGAAAGGCCTCTGGTACAATCATCAAGGTACAGGGCCATATCCCCATTGAGACAGTGCTCAACAATTTGGACCTTCTGGACAGGGCACATGCAGGCCTCACCGGTACAACCCTGGTTGCTGGACAGGTGGGGTACAGCGAGAAGCTTCGAGACATAGATGGAACAACCATCCTGTCCCAACAACAGGGATACAGGCTTCTCAACAAGAAGCGCATCGTGGACGACAATTAGCCTACATCGTCTACATCAGCCATTTTTGGCACACCGGGTTTTTGGGTTTTACATCCTGCAGACATCAGGCCACTTGAGTACAGTTTGTATAGATGTTCGGCACATTAGAAGCATCGATGTACAAAGGGCAACAGCCAGTAGAGCTGCTAACAACTTTTACATCACTTCGGCCCATGAGAACAAAACTGTTTTGGCCTGTTGTAGAAACCTACATCAATCCAAGAGGGGGTGTGGATGTACATCCACTCTTGCACATGACCTTGGCCTTCTGCACATCAAGGCCTTGAGCCTATCTACAAGATAGAGCCTACAGCCCTCGCCCGCTGAGTACAACAAGTGCCGTGCTGTCACACACAGGTTCGACACATTTAGGTCATCAGGTGTTTACACAGTTAGTTCCACTTTAACATGTAGAGCATATGAATATATATATATGAATATGTATATAGCTATGCATTGCAATGAGGAATAGCCTCCTTAAACTGTTGGTGGACATATTAAGATTCACACCCAAGGTGGATGAGCATATAACATTCTAAATTGTGTTTGATGTACCCTGGGTTGGGCCCGTTGCTGGGAGTTTGGAGCTCCCTGCCGTGGGGCTTCTCAGGCCTTCGTTTGTTCACCGAACCGAAACCCGATGGCGGGACGTTTCCTGAAGTGTTTGCTTGGATGCACACTTTGGGCTTTGCAACGCATCGCACCTCAAATGCTGACCGTGCTTTGGAGTTGAGACACCAAGGCGACGCCCTAGCCTCAGCCCCCCGGGTTTTGGAGGGGCATTAGAGTTCCTGTAGATTCCCAGTGGTTCATGCTCATGAGATCAATCATCGCCGATTTTGAGAAATGTAGAGAATTGGTCAAAGGTTGGGCCGAGCTTCTGGTTTTTGGCGCAGTTGAATGCTGGCCCCGCATTCCTTCACTGCCAAATTAATTTTTTTGCACCCTGACTTCAGGTGGCCGTTGGCGGCCCTTTTGGTATCCCTACGATCCATCTAGCCGCCTCCCTTCCATTACAAGGATTCTTCAGATACAACACCCAGGTTGGAAAGAACAATAGGGTGAATAGAGCGAATTAACCCCTAGAATCCATCAATGGGTTTCGCTCGAAACGTTTTGGGGGTTCTTTGACCATGAGCAGCTGCGGGGCATGAAAATTTGATTCTCGAGCTATGCTTTCCCTGAATCGAAATCAGCTTCCCGAGAATCACATGCTGAGGGCATGATTAGAAGGGGTGAACACTGCTTGTTGCAACAACGTGTGCGTCTAATGCCCAGGGTGACTCAAGCATTGATGGGAAGACCAGACTTTTCTGTGGGTGTGGCACAGAGGCACTGACACACACGCACACCGGCAAAACCAACACGGGGCCTGGGTATTTTTGTCAACGAGTACATCAACCACAACTCGTGGTATTCTACAGCAACATTTAACTACATGTCTTCTGTTGGTGGACATAGATCCCCACCGTTTTCTGTCCACCGTTTCGAGTCCCGGTAAACAGTATCCCACATCTTGCACTGTAAGAAAGATAGCCTTTGGTGCATTTTGCTTTGATGTTAGGACTTCAACTTTTCCCCAACTAACGGGTTTTCCATTTAACCACCAAAAGTTAAGCTTTTAGCAGGGGAGCAGAAAGCAACCGAGTAACGATGGATTGGGCATGGATGGTTTCAACGAAAAGGGCGCCTGGTCTAGGCAAGTTCCGGGTGGACTGCCCCCGCGTGGGCGACTCGGACACGCTGTGCTGCTACAAGGAGTTTCAGGACAGGATTCACACGAATTCCATTGGCGTGGCTCGTCCTTTGTGTTGGGGGGAACCCCTTTCTGGTTGGTTGAAAGGGAAGCCAACAAAAAGAACCACCATGGTGGGGCGGGCCCTCAAACCAGACTTCGCCATTGTGCGCATCAGAATACTTGCTTATTTCATTGCAGAGGATCTATCACGAATTGCTGGACATATTTCCATTGTTTCCAGTGGACTTCAGGAAATGACAGTGAAAGGCAAAACCCACACCTCCAGTGGGTGTTTGATGTGTTCTTTCTCCTACTTTCTGCGATGTGTCGATATAGAACCCAAACCATGGGTTTCCCTTGTTTCTTTCTTTACCCCCAAAGCGTGTACCAATCCTCAACGAACAACCGCAAATGGGAACCTCTTTTGATTGGTTTCGAAGCAAAGGGAAACCGATTTCATTCTTGGCATACCCCAATGTAAAAACCAAGCCTGTCGAACTAGGGGGCCCCCCGGTTTTCCAGCTGTTTCCCAACGAGAGCCAACACCGAAAGTTTAAAGGCGACCTCCCCTCATAACACATATTTCTTAAAACCACCCCAGAAAGGGGTATCCTCAAGAAACAAGAACACCCCACCCCCACCCCAAACCCCCACCTCCCCCCCCCGCTCCCCCCCAAAAAAAAACAACAACAACAGAAACAACAAAAGTGTGGGTGTCCTTTGTTTTTCCTCTATGAACCACCCCCCCAAAAACGGGGGGCGTATCCTCGAAGACAAGCGACACAGACACAGACCCAGACACCACCGACCAACGGACAGGTTCACGGGGAGTTGTGCCTGAAGAAGCACGTGCAGCGGCTCGTGGCCAGCGTGAAGTACCGGGAGGCGCCCAAGTTCGAGCGGAGCCGCCCCTCGGCTTGAGGCCGGAGCCAGGAGTGACGCGAGACGCCCGAGGCGATGCGAGGCCGCGTTTCAGCCCACCCCTTGTTGTTCCAAAGCCAAAAAGCGTATGGATTTTGGAACAACAAGGGTCAAATCAATAGTCAAAGCCCCTTGTGGCGTCAGATGTGTTTTGACTTTAGATTTTCCCCTTGGTTTTAGAGAGGCTCTATGACTACTGGAGATATGTTCTCATTTTTCTCCATTGGTCTTCAGCAAATGGAAGCCGTTTACCCTCTCAATGGTGCCATGGAATCCAAACCAGTGCTCGGGCGTGAGGTTTCATTGCCAGACTTGCGCCTTTCTGGGTTTCCATGATTTTACCTGACCAGCAAATTTCAGCTAACCCGTCAGGTTGGTGGTTTGGACGTTGGTGGTTTGGATTTGGGATTGAACTTCTGGTTCTTGTGGGAGGCCACTCCCGAACCACCTACCCACCAATCCAATTCACCAAGGAAATTGTGTATCTTTTTGCACGGGGTAGGATCAGTCTGGTCGAGTCTTTTGCTGCGCTCAAGTGTTTGTGTGGTTTCCATGTAAAGCAACTCCAGAAAGGGAACCCTCAGAAACAATGGGATTCGCAGCTTGTTTTTCTGGCTTGGTGTCCTTCTTCCTTGGGGCAGAGATGCCCAGTGAATGCCAGCTCCTGCCATGCGGTTGTCCTGTCTTTCTTGTTCTTCCTTGTGCTTTTGTTGGCAACCTGTGTTTCTTGTTTTTTTTTGCTAGAACGAATCAGGGGCTGAGTTTGCCCAAGCCTGCTTAAGACCACGAGTGGGGCATATGTCCCTTGCCCCTTGAAGAAGTCTTTCAAAATCAGCGACTAAGCAAGAATTGGCACGCATGTGTTCCCATGAAGCATCCACTGAAGTTTGGTTGACCGTGGTTGGGTGAAATATGTGGCAGTTTTGCGCTGGCCGGTTTCTCCGACTCGCTTATAAACTCCTGGAAGGGTGGAAAGGATCAACTTGCGGCTACTTTGCTTGCTGGAGCTCAGCGTGCTGGGAATGAATCCCGGGGTTTCCTTACAGGAAACCAGAGGGGATGGTTTACAGGGTCATTCCCTCATTCCCTGCTGGAACCAGCAAGTTTGGTATCACAAGCCATGAGACTCTTTACATGGGCCTGCTCTGAACACCAGATGCTGTGGACTATTTGCGCACATTTACCTTCCAAAGGAGTCGAACGTTGGGACATAATGTATGACTCACATTCAGTGGGTGGGATGGGTGAATGTTACCCTTTAGTTTTTTCTACAAGCGGCCACATGTCTAATTTTGCCACGCTGGGGCGGGGTTACTAACTCACATGGAATGAAGATCTCTAGTAACACCCTTTCGCTGAACCACTGCCCTCCTTCCAAGAATGGTTTGGAAGACTACCGTCATTTTGCGTGGGCCTCCCGTCTACTTCAACTGGTTGTTGGCAAGGGGGTAGCCACTCGAACACCCGCATCCCCAAGAAAGAGAGCATACCCAACCCTGTGTACCCCTCAACCCCCCAACCCATCCCCAACCCATCCCCAACCCATCCCCAACCCATCCCCAACCCATCCCCAACCCACCCCCACCCCTCAGGCTCCCGAGGGAGCCGCGCCCCCGAAACCGCCCGCTCCAAGGCAACGTGGAGATGACGAAGGCCGGGCACCTCAACGGGACCTACGCGAAGGTCGGGTCCCACAACAACGCCCCGCTGCGCCTTGAAATGGGTTGAACGAGGAAAGCTCGATGCGTGCCGGGGAAGGAAGGCAAAAAAACAAGGGCAACTGGAAAAAAGACGTCAACGAAAAGGGCACCAAAAGAAGAATATCCAAACAGGACACCTTTTAGTGTTGTTTTTTTTTTGGGGGGGGGGTCTTGCAGGTGGCTTTGCCAAAAGAATCCGTGCGGGTTGTTGTGGACCCCGACAATTCTCAAACGCCCAACAAACCTTGTCTGAAAGCGCCCTGTTGAAAGAGCTGATTGAGTCGTTGTGGCTATTTGTTGGAGAGGCTGAAGGCCCAAATCCCACCCTGCCAAGGTTCCTTCAAGAACCTTCTGATCAATCTGACGGAAGGGTTCGGATTGAACTTGTTTGGGGCCTAAAGCCGATTTTGCCTCCTCCCTTGTTTGTTGGGCTCAGATCCCAAACCGCCCCCCCTTTTTGTTGAGGCTCGGGATTCTGCTTTTCCTGGTTGCTTCAAGGGGACAACCCCTTTTTGCAGGTTCCGGAAACGGTGCAAACCCAAACGGTTTCTGGGTTTCTGCAGGAAATGGTGCGTGCTATTGTCCGACAGGGGGATAAAACGAGCACAAAGGTTCTTGAGCGGCATTTCCCTTATGTCCGCTTTGGGAAGCGCAGAATAGTGAATCTCCGCAAGGAACCTGCAAGGGGATGGAGATGTTGTTCATTTCTCCAAACTCCCATATCGAAATGGGAACCCTCGAATCGAAGCGGGTGGTCTTCCTTTTTGGCTTCCCTTTAAACCAACCCCAAGAACCTCCCCCCGTTGCCCCGGCCATTTCGCACCAAGCGAGCGTTCTGCGCGCAAGCCGCCAGCGCCGAGGTACCGCAGCGAGGGGGGCTGGATCTTCTATGACCGAGCGATCCCCGTCGGACTTTGTCTTCCCCTTTCCCCAGCTGATTTTTTTGTTTTCCGTGTGTGCAATGGCTCCTTCTGGCCTCATTATTTTATCATGATCAAAGTCACCCCTAACTGGTTAAAGGGAAACAACCCCCATTTACTGACTTTGAGAACCCGCAGAAACCGTCAAAATAATGACCCCAGTCCTTTTCCTGTTTTTCCATGAACCGTCTTGGTTGTTCCTTTTTCTTCTCCTGCCAGCAGTCGGCAACTGTTGTTCTGAAAGCAGTCTTCTTTCTTTTGGGGGGGGAGTGCTTTGTTTTGCTGGTTGTTTCGTGGGGTGGCGTGAAAAGAACAGATGGTCTTCTTTTTGGGGCAGGTGTCTCCTTGAACTTACGAATCGCCGCGGACAGGCGTCCGTTCCAAATCCATCACAACATTGGCCCAACCCTGCTACCGGCCTGGTGTAGCGCAGGGCTGTCCTTTTCGACAAACCAAAGGGGCACTCCTTTTTGAAGACGCCAACCACAAGGGAACCCGAATAAGGGCGCTCTTTTTAGGCGTTGCTTTTAAGAGGAAGCCAACGATAAGCCTCCCATTTTTGTTTCTCTGTTTTTTGGGGGGGCTTTCCCGCACTTGAAGACAAACCATGGCTGCCCGAAGCTGCACAGTTCCTTTCAATTGGGATGAAAGCCCGGGGCATGCCCTGTGCCCCGCAAGCGTGTGTTGTGTTGTTTGCTTTGGAAGTTGAAACTGGGTCAGTGCCAGGAAACCTTCAATTGGCAGTTTGGTTTGGCGGTTTCGCTGGCTTGATTTGAACCCCGGATTCTTGTGGGTACGTGGGACATCACCTTTGGACATTCACCAACCCAAAGAACCAAGGCGGAAGCAGACTTCCGCTTCTTGAAAAAACACCCTCAAACCTCCCTTGTGAGGGGGTCCACGACTGGCTTTTCGGTTTGGACCCGAAACAAATATTCGGCCAAGCAACTCTGACCCTTTGGTTTTTTGGGGTTAGAATTTGAAGCCGGAGGCACGCCACCACACGTCTCCACCAACCTCTTTTTTTTTGGTTGTTTGAAGAAGCAGCAAGGAGCGGTTTTTCAATTTTTCGCCGTGTCCAGAAAGGCTTGCTCGTTGTTTCCCTTGGTTTGCCTTTGATTTTCCTTGGGCCTTCTTATTCCCCTAACTTTTCCCTCTCTTCTATCCCTCCCAAAACCCCAAATATCCAAGCCCAACCCTTCCCACGCCTTTTGGTTTTTCCCACCAACAACCCAACCTGTTCGTTTTCCGACTTGTCCGAAAGCTTCCACCCAGCCCAAACCCCCCCGCCCCAGCCTGCCCGCCGCCGATCGGATCGAGCCGAGGGCCGGGCTGTGGAAGGTCTCCGAGAGCAGTGCCGAGGACGCGGGGCCCAAGGTGGGGGACACCGTCACCGCGGAGCGCGGGGGAGGGCCCCCGCAGGCGGGAAGAGACGGGGACGGGGGAGATGGGGTGGTGGTGGGGTGCTGGTTTTTGCGAGGTTTGATGCCTTCCAAGAAAAACCGCACGCTTTTTAGACCCCCCAACAAAAAAATGCGGCAGTTTGTTTGTTGCTCTTCGGTTCTCAATTGAAGACCCAGGACATAGCCCAAGTCCAAGAAACAAGCTCCAGTTGTCTTGGGGTTTTGCAGTTGCGTAGAGTTGCCTCAATCACACTTGCTCAATGGGGATCGATATGTCGACAAGTTCTATACGTCGTCCCTCTTTCTTTTTGGACGTCCAACTTCCTGTCAGGCCCTGCGTCCTGGATTCCATGACCCAAGCCAAAAACGATCAACTCAACATCCGACAAAACAAATTAGATCGACTCAGCAACAGCCAAGTCGGATCCAACTCAACCACTCAAAGTCATTCTTGCATCATATTCCGAATTCCTCGCTCTTGCAAAGCAAACAAGTCGGATCCAAAAACAAAAATCGAGCACACGTAACATCTCCATGTTTCTCCTTCCTGGGTTTTGGTTGGCCCGCGCTTCCTCCTCCCCGTCTTTTTTTCAACCACCTGGCCGAGTCATGGAGGCATTGAGGCATTCGAGTCACTCGCTGGCGCACAGGCGGGGGTGGTGTCCAAGCTGGCGGGGAGCTCGGTGGAGATCTGCTGGGCGGACGGCAGCGAGGAGGACAAGATGCAGCCCAAGGATGAGGTGACCGCGCCTGGGATGATTTCCTGAGCGGAGGGAGGGGATGGGAGGGGATGGGAGGGGAGGGGAGGGTCAGAAAGAAGACAGGATCCCAAGCAGCGAATTCAAGTCTCATCACGCAAAACGCGACACTGCTTGATCGTGTCGCTGTATCTCTTTGCGCTTTTTCTGAATGTGTTTCCCACTCACGAGAGTGTGAAGCAAGGCAAATGTTCTCGCCCCGCGACCAATCCGTCGCTTCCTCGAGCGGGGGAGGGAGGGGAGAGGAGGGGCTCAGGGGGGAGGGGCCAAATTAGATCTTTTGTTAAGCCCTTAAGCCCTCATTTTGCGCTCCCCCTCCCCCCAGCCCCTGTGAAGAAATCACTGGCTCAGGTGGCCGCTTCTGCCGCCACCCAGTTCAAGGACAATGGCACCTTCCTGCTGCAGGCGGTTTCCTATGCAAACAAAGCTGGGGAGAGGTTTTCTTGGGAAGGGGGGGTTGGGGGTTGGGAGTTGGGGGAAGCTCCACTCCTTGTTTCCAGTCTTCCTTTCTGTGAGTGGGTCGGAGAATCCACGTCAAAGTAGGTTGCATAAATTGTGTCTTTGTTTGTTTTGGGGAATGAGGCTTGGCTGAAAACAGGCTTGTTTTAATAGGCGTATTTGATTCTTGGTTCAAGTGTTTCGTTGGGTTAGCTGTTTGCCTTCATTGGTTCTGCAACGAACGGTCAGCGGGGATCTGGAACCACTCGTTGGTGAGACTACAAATGAGGCCCCGTGTTGGATCTTTGTTGAAAGGATTGGATGTTGTGCCGCTCATGCATTGGTCCAACAATGGTCGCGCGAATGAGCATGGTAGAAAGGCATGTCCGCAGCAAACCAGCTTTGAACCAAAGGGACACCCAGCTCGGGCGAACAAAAAGTACTCTGCAACGCAAAATGGCAGAAAGCGACTAGGTCGATAGACGTTGGGGTTTAAATGGAAAAGGGGCGAGGAGCCGAGCCCCTCGACTATTCGCAGAGCGATTTTCACATGAGACTGCGCCTTCTAGCATGTTTCGAGCCAGGGCCACAGCTGCGGGCAATATTTGCAGACGGTGCTGATGCTGCTGGTGATGCTGGTTGTGTTGCTGGTGATGCTAGCCGGCGATGCTGGTGATGCAGGTCCTGTGTGTGGATGATGCTGGCAATGCTGGTGATGTTGGTTTTTTGATTGGTCGTTGGTAGTGTGAGTCCTCTCAAGTGTTCAAAGTTTTTGATCGGAACATGTCTGGATTCGCGTCTTACAGGAATTTGCCCCCAAACTTGTCCACCGCAAAAGGCAACACGGCTCTGTGAGAGACTGAGCCAGAGTTGTTCTTGTTTTGTTAATCTGCCATTGGTCCCAACCAGCACTTTGCTTCCATGTTTTGGGTTTGGACCATTTGTGTGTGGCAAACAAAGCTTCAGGCTTGTTGGCAAGTCCACGCAGGAAGTGAGGAAACGATCAACCCTTATTGGCAGGCAGGCTAGATCCACATCAAAGCAGAATTCACCAAGATCAATCCAAATCCACCTAAATGAGCCCAACTCAACCCACATCAGCTCAAAATCAGACCAACGGGAGCCCAAATCCCAAATGATCTCCAAAGACCAGCCAGAAGGGCCAAGGACTTGTCCCGACCGCGAAGCCTCGGACCGCGACGCCAGGCCACACAGGATGCATTTATTCAGGATCGGGCACCGCCGGTCTCAGGCGAGCCGAAGCCGCCGCATGCGATCGATCCGGATGCGTCGCGGCTTCGCCGGTGTTTTCGTTTTGGTCGGTTTGGGCATTCCCTTTTTGCAAAACACCCCCCCCCCCCCTTGTCCCCCGTTTTTGTTGTTTGAAAGAGAAACTAGAAGAAAACCGCGAGCCACTCTTTAGGGGCTTTAGGGGGAGGGCCCCTAAAAACACACCCATTGGGCCTTGGGGACCACCCTATGATTGTTCTGACATTGTGGGAAGCATTGGTTTTAATTCCCACTGTGATGGGAGCCTCCCCGTAAGAATTCGGCATTGATTTTATCGGGTCTTGCCAAATGTAAGTTTAAGCAACCAGACCCTGGCCTCTTCTGGAGGAAAGCCAAACGCTGTTTAAACAATAGCGGTTTAAACATGGTTGAACTCTGGTGGTCTGTGTCAACCAGTCGAGTGCCAGGCCAAGTTGCTTCGGTTTGCTAGGGGAGACCAATACACCCTGCCCATCGGGTCGGTTCCGGATATCCAGAAAAGGAGGAGTGCCGGGCCGGCAGGAAAGCGCTTGCCAGACCAAACCTCTGCCTTTGAATGGGTCGGTGTTTTCATTGGCCTTGGATTTGGCAGGCGATTGGGGTGTTTCGCCTTGCATTCCACCGGCTTGTTTTTTAAACGATCCAACCTGCAAGCTGAACCGTTGCGAGTCGCGGCTTGCTTGATGAGGGGGCCGGACGCGGCGTATAAGCGGGTTTCAGCTCAAAACCGAGGGACACTCCCAGTTCGCCCTGATTGGCCAATCTATGTTTCTCATCTTTTTTGGGACCCTTTCAGTAGTTGATGTCCTTTTGGTTTCCCCTCACCATCCAGCATGGTGACCCCTATTTGAGGATGTTCCAACCCACCCAAAAAGATCAAAAACAACAAACGCATCAAGCGACGCCCCCCCAAAACAAGGAGCCGCCGAATCCGCGCCTCGCGCCTCAAGCGCCTCGCGTTCCGCGCGCTCGAGCGAGGCTGGATGGCCACCCCGGAGAGTGGGGGGTACTTGGAGCCCGACGCCTTCAAGGACGCCATGGCCACGCTGGGCCCGGAGCCCCGGGGGAAAGGGCCCGAAAAACGGGCCCCCAACCCCGTGGCCCCAACTGCGGTCCCAGTTCGGGCCCCGGGTTTGCCCAAGGAAATCGGTGGGGTGGCTCAATTTGTTGGTGGTAACAGGTCGTTTTGGGGTGCTTCAAATCAGAAGGGAAGCGGAAACCGCCATTTTCGTTCTGTTCTTCTTTCTTTTTGATGAAGGGGGGGTCCTGCATTTTGCGGCACACCCGTATGGGTGCGTAATTCGGAGTTCGAACCATGATGGCGGGATGTGTTTGGTGGAAACCTTTTGGTTTCGCTTTAAACTAGTATCTAAGGGGGTACCGAGCCTCAAACAACAGGTTTCTACGCGGGTGTTGTATCTCATAGACATGTGAGGAGATCGGTTTCCTGAATGCATGGTTTCTATTGGGCTGAATGGTGTCTTTGAAATTTGTTTAGTTTCGGGAATGGTGTTCAACTCAACCGGCTGGCATGCTGGCAAACTGTAAAAGCAGGACAGGCAGCAGCACGGCGAAGCAAACAACCTGCAAATCGCCTTGAGTTCCAGGTGTTTGATTCTTTGTCAGTCGCATCTTGGAGCCCCCAACTGTCACAACGGTGTCCCTTCTTCCGCTTAAAACAGACCGCAGGCCTCGAGCAAAAGACGTTCGACCCAAATGGCTCGCTTTGCCACGCCCACTTTGGGATTTAGATGGCCTTGTGCCCGGGCTGGGCCGTCAGATGCAAAACGTTTAAAACGTGGGTTAATTATGGAAACGACCACTCAACCAAAAGCCAAAGGAACCGGATAGCTGGGAACCACGAAGCAGAATGTTTGTCAGTGACTCACCCTCGATAGCTCACCCTGCTCTTCGGTTCTAGCCCCCGACGTTGTTGAGCACTGGTGAACTCGCAACATGACAAGCACCAACACATTGACACAAGACAACATGAAGCAGGGGGGACAAATTCAAGTTCATCGACACAGACCGGATTCAACTGCCCTTGCGCTGCGCGGTGCCGTTTAGTTCCCCAGGTCTGGATGAGAGCAGCTCGAAGAGTCTGGCGGATCAGCTGCTGAGCGCCATCTCCAGCGGGAAGCAGGTGGTGCTCCGCAGGCGACTTTTAGGAAAAAGAAAGGCGATGGGGGCATAGATTCCAGCTCAGGAGATTCCCACTGGGTTTCTGGATGTTTGGAGATGCCACGTCTTCTTCCTTTTTGGGGGGAGAGGTGGCAGTGGTTCTGAGGGAGCCATTTCAACAACAAGCCATCAGCTATATATATATATACACACGCATACATGCATACATACATACATACATACATACATACATACATACATACATACATACATACATACATACATACATACATACATACATACATACATACATACATACATACACATAGACATAGACATAGACATAGACATAGACATAGACATAGACATACACATATACACATACTCATACTCATACACATACGCATACGCATACGCATACGCATACACATACACATATCCATATCCATATCCATATCCATATCCATACATACACATACATACACCTACATACACATACATACACATACATACACATACATACACATACATATACATACTTACATACATACATACACACATACACATACATACACACATACATACACATACACATACACATACACATACACATACACATACACATACACATACACATACACATACACATAGACATAGACATAGGCATAGACATATACATACACATACACATACACATATACACATACTCATACACATACCCATACGCATACACATACACATACACATATACATATGCATATCCAAATCCATATCCATATCCATACATACACATACATGCACACACACACATACATACATACATACATACATACATGCATGCATGCATGCATGCATGCATACATACATACATACATACACACACATACATATACATATACATACACATACATACACATACTGTGAATAGTTTGTGGGAGTGCAAAACATGACACTTACAAACATAATGCCATTTTGGCTCAAGGTTCACATGTTAGCTTAGGTTCCTAGCCTTCATAGCGGACCATAGCTGGCAAAGGTATACAAGATGCCTACGGGTGGAGCGCTGTTTCGAGGATATTCGGACCCCCGCACTCTATCCGAAAAAACACTCCCAATGTTGTCGGGGTACCAAAGAAATTTTCTGGGTTTCTCAGGGTATCAGCCGTAGGGCTTGTCTCACGTGCTGTGAGACAAGACTATTCGAAGCGCGAGGTCTTGAACCCCGCTTCACATTGAATCGATCGATTTATTTACTCACATTGCCAAGTGGTGCAATACTTGCGTGACAATGTCCGATGGTAGATCTGCGATTGCGTTCGCGGCACCTGCTGCCGGAATCAGCTGGCCATGGGAGTGGAGACACTATTGTTGTGAGTACTGGACCTGCGGCAGTATAAGCCAGCAGCGTGATGCTGGCGTTGATCAGACCATGGGAGCAAGGGCTTCCTCCCAATCGAGAGTACCGTCAGAAGAAGAAGAGGGGCGGACACGAATCCGTAAATCTCGTAAGGGAGAAAAGTTGACTTTTCTCATCCTCCCCAAGGGGTTCCCCAAGTGACCCCAGAAGCGCCAAATCAACAACTCGATGCTGAATTGCGGAAAGCCCAAGGGAAGGCGGAAGCACAGATGAACGAGGCTGCAGAACAGCTTGACGAGAACAATTCATTGAAGAAGGCGTGTGCATCGTTGCAATCATCTGTAGATAGACAGGAATCCGGTGAGGCGGGAAGCCTGGAGATCAGGCGAGCGAAGTCGCCCTTGACGTTCAGCAGTTAATTGCCAAGCTGGTCAAAGTCAGAAAGGGTTTTCAGGGAAGACAAATGATATTCATGGCTAGAGAGCTTTGCACGTACGACAGGCTCGACCTTGTTTTCGGGGGTGGAACACTTGTATAAGTTGACCTATCCTGGCAACAAGAAGATGGGAGATTTCAAGCAACGATGGGGGAGATTTCAAGCAACAATGGCTTGAAATCATTGCTGGAGTCAAACCTGAGTCTGTTCCGCAAGAGGAGGAGTTGCGAGATACGCTGTACCGAAAGCTGAAAGGGAACCCGAAGGAGTTGGAGTTGGGTTTGAAATTGTACGAGCGCATGGAACGGAGTGATCCCGCGAAAACGCATAAATATTTGCTCAACATGATTGGTCGACGGGTGAAGGCGACCAGGGAGGAGAAGGAGAAAGTAAGGAGAAGTCGCTCAAGGATCACAGATTGGGTAATGCACTTCCCTCTCCCTAAGGAGAAGGCTAAGCCACGGGGGAGGTCACCTCCCAAATCCCGAGATCCTTCCCCTGGCGGAACCAAGAATTTTCCGTGTCAGTTTCATTTCTTTCGTGGGAAATGTACCGATTGCAAATGCAGCCATCAGAAGAGTACTTATACGCCAGAATGGAAGAAGAAGTTTGAAGAAGGTCCCAAGCGCGGCAATTCCCTAGCCTGGCAACGTCCCAAGAACGACGGCGTTTGTGTGGAAAAAGGGGACGTGCAAGAAGGGAAGGGGCTGCAAGTTTAAGCATCCGAAGAGTTCGGCACCGGCGGGGAAGGATTCTGACACTGAGAGAGTGAAGCGGGATCCGCGAAGAAGACAACGAAGAAGAAGGCGAAGGCTGCCCCGGTGATATCCACGGATTCATTGTGGGAGGACTCCGAGAACCAACCTGCAGCGAAGAGGAAATTGTGGACAGCGATGCTGAGATCAAACGCGCTCCCGCTACCCCGAGAGCGAAGCTGTACAACCCCAAGATGGGGGGACGAAGACAAAGAGCGTGGTTTTCCGGGTTTGGGTTGAGTACGATGTTGGTGATGTTAGCAATCAAGAATTTCCTGAGAGGCATTGCAGAGAAGCTCGTGGAAAGAAGGGGGTAAGCACTGAGACGTTCGTGATTCGCAGACTTCTATCAAAGTGCCCATTTCCAGCAAATGCACAATGGAAATTGTCCTCATAGGGGACAACTATGAGAAGATTGACTATGTGGATAGAGCTAGGAAAAGGGGATGGACCTGTGATCGGTGATTTTGAATCCATGAGAGAAACCCAACATGCAATCGCCATGGTGGTGAAGTCGGGTAAGCCTAAAAGGGTGAAATGGCTCATGGACACCGGATGCGGGCATTGGACAGTGTTGGGATAGCACTTTTTAATACACACTTGCCTGTTCTGTTCAAGTTGTCGTGGATCAGCTTCAAACTTGCCTCGGTCATATGTCTGCCTCCTTTAGCTGGGCGCAGCGCAGCATCCTTCTTTGGAGACAGAAGTGCTTGTGTTGGTCAGAACGCCTTACCGTTTGATGGGCCGCATGCCAAGAAGGCTCTGGAAAGGAGATCCATCATTCTGCAGATCAAAATGGGGGTGCACCGGCGCCTCAAAAGTGCCAGAAAGCTTCGTGGCAAATTTCGTCCAGTTCAGAATAAAACCATACCAGGAACTCATCAAAGGATCGCGCCTTGATCCTTCAGGGCTCACAGACCTTGCTCAGTTTGAACTAAGGCACTCACTTTGGCCAGGTCATCATCGACCCCACATCTGGGGAAGATGTGATGGACTTGGACAAAGAGTTGTTCTTTGGTTTTTGCTTTTTAACCAAACCAAACCGGGGCACACCTTCAAAAAGCATCTTTAGACATCACCCGTTTGGCCCAAATTGCAGATGGAAGGCTCGTGAACACCAATCCAGAGGCAGAGGAGTGCTTGTGGAAGGGGTCACGAGGAGGGTGGGTTGAGAGTTGAAAGTTTTAGGATTTCTTAGACGTTTAGGAAACCCGCCACCGCCCCACCGCCCCTTGGCCTTTAGGGACTCTTCGGTTCGAGGCCCTCAGTGGACTTGTCCTTCGATGGCCTCTGGGACAAGTTGGGCCGCGAGGAGGAGCGAGCGAAAAATCTGGTAGGTCGAAAGAAACAAAAGCAACACCTCACACAACTCCTAACTCCTCAGACCCGAACAAGGCCGGGGGGGGGGGGGTTTCTTCCTTTGGCAGTTTCTCAAAATGGCGAATCTCCCCGTTGTTCGTTGTTCGTTGTTATTCAAAGGGACAGAGAAAGGAAACCACGCATTTTAGGGGGGTTCGACGCCTAGTTTGAAGACAGCCCCGTGTGATTATCTTCGGGCAACCAAGGGGCACCAATGATTCTTTCCTTTTGGCAGAACCAACACTGCTCATTCGAATGGTTCGCAAAGGGCGGAATCAAGTAAACCTCATGTTGCATGTAGTTTGAGGGCTTGGCACGTCCCAAAAATTCCGTGAGGGTAGCTTGAGGCCAGCCTCCGACGCCGTCAGGACGCAGCATCGGCCTGGAAGAAAGCTACTCAGGCCGGATCGCTCCAGCCGAATCGCCGAAGCGTCTTTTCCTGCTTGAGGCTGGTATGGGAAACCAACAAGGGAAACCAACAGTCATTTCTTGCGAGGGGCTTTCTTCGTTTGTGTTTTTGGCTTGCATCCTGTTTAGGGTTGGCTGCATATTTTGGAGGGGGCTTTTCGTTTGTTTAATTGCTTGTTTGTTTGGTTGCCCAAGATGCGGAATGAGCGTCCTTTTTTGAGGCTAACGTGTTTGGGAAACTAGAGGAGCCCCTTGCCATGTTGATTCGGGATCCGGGATTTGCGGCCCGGGATCCGGGAGTTGGGGTTGGGGGTTTGCGGCCGAGAAGGACAGGTTGGTGAGGTGCATGGGGAAAGTCGACACAAAGTCATTGGGTGTGGCTCGGCATTCTATGTCTCCCCAAATGGGGTTTCTCTCCATATTGTTGGACCGACCAACGTCGAATCAAAGAAGGCTATGCAATTGGGGGCAAAAATGGGATATTGCCCCAACAAGGTGATTTCCCGATGTTCGTTGTGAAGCTGTGCTGCCTTGCGCCGCATGAGATGAGGGGCCGCACTTTGACATGCGTCGAGTTTTTATCCGGCAAATTCCAGGCCGCTGTCTCCAAGTACCTGGACAGCAAAGGCCCGTACTGCTGAGCCTGCGTGTGTGGTTCGATCTGGACTATGGTCCGTTTGGTAGGGACATGGCGACATGGGGGACGCTCTCTGTCTCTCTCTCTCTCTCTCTCGCTTTCTCTCTCTCTCTCTGTCTCTCTTTCTCTCTCTCTGTCTCTCTCTCTCGCTTTCTCTCTCTCTCTCTCTCTCGCTCTGTCTCTCTCTCTCTCTCGCTTTCTCTCTCTCTCTCTCTCTCTCTGTCTCTCTTTCTCTCTCTCTGTCTCTCTCTCTCTCTCTGTCTCTCTTTCTCTCTCTCTGTCTCTCTCTCTCTCTCGCTTTCTCTCTCTCTCTCTGTCTCTCTTTCTCTCTCTCTGTCTCTCTCTCTCTCGCTTTCTCTCTCTCTCTCTCTCTCGCTCTGTCTCTCTCTCTCTCTCTCGCTTTCTCTCTCTCTCTCTCTGTCTCTCTTTCTCTCTCTCTGTATCTCTCTCTCTCTCTCTGTCTCTCTTTCTCTCTCTCTGTCTCTCTCTCTCTCTCTCTCGCTTTCTCTTTTTCTTTTTTTTTTTTTCTCTCTCTCTCTCTCTCTCTCTCTCTCTCTCTCTCTCTCTCTCTCTCTCTCTCTCTCTCTCTCTCTCTCTCTCTCTCTCTCTCTCTCTCTCTCTCTCTCTCTCTCTCTCTCTCTCTCTCTCTCTCTCTCTCTCTCTCTCTCTCTCTCTCTCCAATGTTCCCACAAAAACCCAGGGGGCTCTCGAATTGATCCAGGTCTATAGTGGGTAGAGCAAATTGACCATGGCACATGTGGAAAATGGTCCAGAGACGTCTTTACTTGGAGTTGATATTGATAGGGAGTTAGATAACCAAAGGTCCATACCCATGATTCGCAGATTCGGAGGCGCTGGTTGTTGGGAAACAGAGTTTGGGCGGCAATCCGTGAGAGGGTTTGAATCTCCACATAGAGAAACTAGTCAATGGGATTTTTTTCACCGCAGAAAGGTGTACCTTTGAGGTTAGAGGCTTTCATGGGCACACGCTAGAGATACGCAGACCGATGCAAAAAGGCCGAGCTTGTATGGGCATAGTATGCCCATTCTCGAGGCGACTCTTTTCGGGGTAGGGAAACCTTTGGGAGCTGAGGGATCCCTGTGGCAGTTTTGCATTTTTGTTCGTTTTTGGCAGAAAATCATGTACCCTTCGTTTTTTGTGTGAATTTTCAAAAGGAGATGAGAGGGGGGGGATTCCCTAAAACTCCCTAAAACTCCCCTAAAAACCCCTAATTAAGGGAACCCTAGGGCTCTCAGCTACCCACACCCCTTGTACCTTCCCCCCTCAATGATTCCATAAACAACAGGGGTACCGCGACTCTAAGGACCTTCGACGTTCCATGTGGGTTTATGCACGCGGAGCCTTGAGACACACAAGGGTCCGGAGATCACCGCCCATCCGGACAAAGACTCACTCTCTGCGTTCCTTGACTTTAGGCACTTTTTGGCAATGGATGGTTTTAGTGGTAAACACAAGGTTATCGGACGTTGTTTTTGGCCAGTCCACTCAGGAAGTGGGTGTTTTTTTCAGGAGAAGCCGGGACACCCCAAAAAGGTAAAAACGGTTAGCAAAGCGGCAGAGACGGGCGCGAGCAGACTTTGGAGGCTGACTGAAGAAGTGGCTCGCGTGCACGCCAGGCATCTCCAAGGACTGCCAGGTGATCCAAACGGAGCACCCCTACCCGGCGACCTCGCACAGCTGGACCAAGGACCTCAAGATCCCAGGCGGGCCGCGGTGGCCGAAAAAGCCGGCAGGAAAACTGGAGGAAACCGGAGGGAGGGTTTCGTTCACCCAGCACCGATTTACCCCATGACTGGAAAGGGGATGCCTAACAGAAGCCCGGAACCGGTTCCCTGATATTGCTACTCCGCTGAAAGAGCTAATGCAAGCCGATCGACCCCAAAGCTTTTTCATTTGGGGGAAAAGGACAAAAAACAAGCCGCGGAAAACCCCGCAGGCTCGTCCGTTTCCATGAGGGTACCAACTTTTGGAGGGGTTCGACTCAGAGGATCGGATGTAAACAATATTTGGAGCACCCCGAGACTCGGGTTTTGGGGGGGGGGGTTGACGTTTGATGTCGCACGAGGCAAAGTTTGGGGCTACCCTACCGGAGTGGGGTTCGGGAAGCCCAATTTCCCGCCGGCGGATCCAATCTCGTCCCTATGTCACTCAGACCGATTCCCAGTGGGTGGCTTCCTTTTTTCTTTGGAGGGAAGTGTCTTATCAAAAAACGAAAATATGACTACCAAAAAAGAGTGTTTTCCCTGGGCCACTGGGGGCGGGGGGGGGGCTGAACCTTGGACTAAAGAGCCACGTTTATGTTTTCCTGCTGCTCAATAGGCTTTGTGGCCCCTGTTTTGATTCTTGGGGAGGCTCGCAGAGCATGCTTTCTTGGCAATGCACTCGGACTTGGGAGGCTAGCCCTTGTATGGGGTTCTGGTCGCTTGCTGCGAAGAGTTCTGGTCGCATGAGGTTGGTTTGCAAGTTGGTCCCGAAATACTTGGCGTCCCATTTGGAAAGAACCCATGCTCAAGGCAAATATGGACTAACAAGGCCTTCTCGGCTGGGGGTCCGAGGTTGATGTGGGTCCTGAGCATGGCAATCCCAAACAGACCTGCCCACCTCACGACGGAGTATCTTTGGGGTCTCCTCCAACATTGTTCAAGGTAGACTTGTGGAACAGAATCTGAACGTGGCCTCTTCTTTTTGCGTGCCCCCGATTTGGCCTAAGTTTAGGCCGCACCCGGTTGAAGCCGTGGCTCAGGCACCAAGGGCATGAAGCAGCTCGGCATGGGCAAACGAGTTGGTATCCTGGTTGGTTTCTTTCGGTTTCAGAAGCCTTTTCAGGAATGGCTTCCCTTTTTGGAGGCCATGCAATGGATAGGCAGACACATTCGCTGGAGCCTTCTGGATGTTTTCCGGTGACCCTTCCTTTTCGGAAGGAACCGCAAAATCCCCAAAACAGACAGAGCTCGTTTTCCGGGGCTCCGAGACCTAGGAGATTCCGAACACCGAAGCATCTCGCAGCGAAGCCCGCGGGTTTTGTGGGGATTTGAACCCCCAGTTCTTGTAGAGGGTAAATGTGAAACCCCTCCGGAACCACCAAACCACCAATCCTAACCACAAATTAGAGAGTCTCCAACGCCAGGCTATGGATATGGCTTGGACTTTAGGTGCCATTTTTCCTGCGGGTTCCACGATCGCCATGGTCTGCTGGCCGAGTTGAAGCAGTTTGTTGGATTTATGTTGCAGCTTGCGCTGGCAAAGAACAGAGGTCTCGAAGGCTCTTACGCCCACAAATTCTGATTCGGAGTTCTCCAAATCAGTTGTTTGTTAGGCAACCCGTAGTCAACCTTTAGTCGGTGGTTTGGATTGGTGGATTTGGATTTGATCCCTTGATCTCCTGATGCTTGTAGAAGGCAAATGGGACCCGGAACCTCCAAACCACCAATGCAAAGCCCGAAGGCTGGATTTCCGTGTCACCGTCATGTCGGGGTAACTTGGCTGACAAATTTCCAGGTCGACCCAGGGGGTGAATCCCAGTTCGCCAAACAAGCACTTGGGTGTGTGTGTGTGTGTGTCTTTTTTTCAAGGTTGCACGCCACAAGATGGATGCTTGTCTTTTGGTGTTCCCCTACAACCAGCCAAAACGGGTACCCTCAAAAAATACACTCCCATTTGGTGGGCCTGCTACACTGGGAATGGAACCCCTCAGGCCAACCAGTTATTCTTTGGACATGTACTCTCAGGGTTCATCTTGTGTTTCTGTTCTGGGGAAAAAGCCCCATATCCATGAATAGATGCAATCATCAGGAACTGAGGTTTGTCTTCTCCAAGATGTGTGTGACCTACGACAGCTGTGCCAGCTTCTACATCAGATCAGGCTCGCGAGCGCCGGTGACCAGAGATCTGAGGATGCAAAACGCTTTCCTTGGGGATCCGTTTAGCATTGTTTAGGTGTTGGACAAATGATAGAATTCGCAAGATCTGTTGAGGTAGGACCATCCTCGCTCTCATTTTGTTGCGTGGATGTGGAGAAGCGGGTGACCGGTTGCAAAAATGTAGACCTCCTCCCCTGAAAGCACCGAAAACGACATGTTGAGAAGGTTTCAGATGTTGCTTGCTCTTTGCTTGTTCGGCCCGCGAGCTTCCCCATGAATTGGGCGGACAGGTGGATTGGAACATGTAGCTGGCTCGTCTGGGGTGAGGGTTCTCGCTTTTTGCTTGGTTGTGTTATTCTAAAGGAGAACCCTTAAGGGACACCGTTGCGGCATGTTTTGGGGGGTTGCCCCCCCAAAACTAGGACAAACTGGTGTGACCAAACCTTTGAGTAAACCCAGGTAAGCGGGCGGATCCTTTGAAGTGCAGCCCATTCAGGGAACACGCCTTTTGAGGAACATCTCACCTCTGATGTCCTTGCCCAACATTTTTTTGCCCCCAACGCGATGGACCACTCAAAACCCACCAGAACACCAGAACACCAGAACACCAGAACACCAGAACACCAGAACAAGCACCTTGGCAGTATTGCCCAGTGATCATATTGCACAGCGTCGAGCATGCGAAATTGTGTGTCAAGGATCCAGACGCCCCCTATTAACTTGGTGGTTCTTGAGGATTTAGGCTTATAGGGTTCAGTGGAGTTCAGTGGTATTTCCATTCAAGCACAAGTTGTTCAGCAGGGGATCAGTTTGGAAAGCCCAGTGGGAACTTGGATGCTCAACTTGCGAAACCCTGGAATGATTCGATTCCCCTAACGTAAATACCAACAAACGTTCTGGTTTCATCCCAGCACCCTTCAAGGGTGGTCCATTTGTACCTAGGGCTCCTGTGTGACCCACTTTTTGGAGCCAATTGACCGTTGGATGGTGCTGGATGGGTTTCATTTCTGGTGGTGACATGGATCTGGTCCGTGGTCTGAATCCCCACCAAAACACCAGAAAAAAGCACCCCCAGATGAATCAAGCAGTGAAGTGAAGTTCATTCCCAACATGGCAGAGACCAACTTTCCTCTTCGAGCCTTAGCCGAAACAGACCCCATCCCCCGATCCGGGGTCATGAAGTGATTTTTGCCCCTGACAGGCGGCATCTCCAAGCCCTCCGTCGGGCCGGGCATGCGCGTGGAGGCCTCTTGGCGCCAATTGTTCCCCAAGGCGATGCGTCACACCCCTTGGGGTTTGACCCCCCCCAAAAAAATGGCCTTGGGAGTCACTTTTGGAGGACAAGCCTTAGGCAAACAATGGTGGTTTTTTCATGAACCCCCCATTGTTTGGTTTGGGTGTGAAACCTAGGGTCAGACGTGATACCTGATGTAGCATCCCGGAATTTTCCTTTCTGGAACCCTCCAGAAAGCGATGGTTTGAATGTGGCTTCTGCCAGAAACTTGAGCAACTGAAGTGGGGCAAATCCCCGTGACCCCTGTCTTTCCTTTTCCTTGGTTTTGTTGGTTATATTGGTTTTGTTAGTTATATTGGTTACATTGGTTATGTTGGTTATATTTGTTATATGGGTTATATGGGTTACATCGGCTTTATTGGTCTTATATTGGTTTTTGGTTTCAACAAAATAATGACGGTTATGTTGGTTTCCCAATTAGCAGGGGGTGCAATTCTTTCAGGCCTTATGACAAGATTTGCAGGTTTCTGCACGTGCCTTGGACATGTCCAAGGCAGGAAGTATTTCCGCGGCATGGGAGGCCCCCCCCATCGTTTCTGGGGCTTTGTCTTCGTGCTTTGAGCTGGTCGAGAACACCGGGCTGTTGGATATCCCTTGTCCTTTTCCCTCAGAATGTAAAGGGAACGGATCCTCGGCTCCTTAAAACCCCTGAATCAGTGTGGCTTTTTCCTGTGACATCCTCAGAAAACAGGGAGCCCCGACTCCTGCGGCCGTGAAAAAAGAAGGGAACCTGGCCTCCTCTTAATTTCTACGTCCATGGGACATCAGCTGGACAACCGGAAGATGTTGGTGATCTTTTAAAGTGCGTGGCTAAAAAACGCATGTTGAACTCCGCCCCCCGAGCAAACTCAACAAAATGTTCAGGCAAGAAAGCCCAGAAACAAGTCGACAAGGCCAAAGAAGCAAATCAAACACCCAAACACAACAACAAATGCTGGAACACAACAGTGTCAAACATCTGCCCCGGCCAAAGAAACAACCTCCCAAACATCTCAAACATCCCCACAGAAAGACGCGAAAGGCAAAAGGGCCATGCGTGTATCACATGCCCCAGAAGAAATGACAAACAACCACGCAATATCCCCCCAAACAAGAAACAACGACACAAACAAAAGAAGAACCACAAACAGTTTTGCCAAAGACTTCCGCTCGCAGGTGGAAGGCAAGGATGGGCTGCGACGCTTCGGCAGCGTGGTGGAGGTGGCTGGCTCGGGGGGTTGTTGTCACGTGGGGCAACCAGTCACGTGCCCCACGACGCAAGGTCTGCAGGGGTTATGGGGTCAAACTGCCTTAGCCCGCCGCCAGGGATTTGAAGGGAAATGACGTGCCTCAGCGTTTGCTTGCAATCTCAGGCTGAGTCGGCCCAACCTTGGTGACACGCCCAAGATTTCGAACGGACCTATTGTGGTGGTCTACAGAAGCTCTGACCCCAAGAGAAGCCGTCGATCTAAGGCCGCCTGATCTCTGGAAGCCCCCAGCACCCCTACCCCAGTTGTTTCAGCCACGGACCTCAAATGGGTTTGTCTCTACACGGGGGAACCCTTTTAGCAGCCCCAAAGAGGGTACCCAAACTGAACTGCTGGTTCCCAGCTGTCCCGTTCCCTAGGTTTTTGCTTGTTTTTAGTTGGTTTGGCGGTAGTTTCCGTATTTCGCCCACAAAAAGTTCACTCCAACCTTTAGCAGGGGATCTGAACAGGCAGGGACCGCCCAGTAAAGCGACCCACCCCCTTCACTTTACGCAGCGCGCCGGCAGGTGGCGGAAGAGAAGGGCGGGCGGCTGGTGCGCTTGGACTACATGGGGACTGCGGTCTTCAACAAGTACGACCAGGCGAGCCGGCGGGGCAACCGGCGAGGGAGGCAGACAGGGTTTCCCAGACCTTCCTCCTGTCCTTCAATTTCTTTGAATGGTTTTGGCCCAGCACAGTGCGAGTCAAGTGTGTTTGCTTCAGCTTAGCTTTCCACCACTGTGCTTGCTTTGAGAGGGTAAGTATTCAAAGCTAGCCCGCCAACTTATGTTTTTGCAAAGCTTGGCGCACAGGACGGCAGGCCCCAAAAGACCTGGGACCCGGGGAGTTTGTTGGGTTGATTCAACCACATTCCCTGAGCACCAGCAAGCTTGTTGCAGCGACTTGAGCCCTTGAGCCACGGATCGGACCTTTCTCATCCCCAAGCTGTGAGACTCCAAACTTGTCTTTTGCCGAAGCCAAGAGCCACTGACGTGGCGCGCTGAGCAAAAAGAGGGCATAGACTCGAGACGTGCAGAATGTGAGCGACTCTTCTTGCGGCCAAGCCTTCAAGAAAATGCTCGCTTGCCCAAAGCGATTCGGCCTTTTAATCTTTTGGTGTCCTGATTGGTGCATATTCCAAAAGGTTAACCTTTTGTTTCCAGGTGCTTTGGGCAAGTGAGAGGTAGGTTCTTGAATATCACCCGTACCCTGCGGGTCGTGATTCCCAGGGCGACTCTAGGTTCCCGTTCTTCTGGCCAGCGCCCCAGGTGGAGGTGCAAAAATGTGCTGGAGATGACGACTCGTGGGTGAGGGGCAAAGTCGTGCACTTCAGCAGCTTGGTTTTAAAGAAAGGCAGACGGGGTTGTGGGATCACCCGGGTTGATCCAGCTTCTGTGATAGAAGGTTGTTTGGCGGTACCCTTTCGAGGTTGGTTTAAAGGGAAGCCATCCCGCAATTTTGACACCCATTTTTAATGAACGAGCTTTCTTTGGGGCTGGCAAAGCTCTTCTATGGGGTTAGTCTTCGAGAGGCCCATTTTCAGAGGTCATTTTTTGTGCTGCCCTGCCCTAAGGTCC